AAGTATATGCTAAGTCTGCTCAACCACTCGCTATGACCACCAGGGGGACGACAGTCGACTAGTTGACCAGTCGCTATGACTGATAGGTCAGATGCTCCCACTGTTAGGTTAGCTTGCTGCTAGAGTCCGGCTGATCGGAAATGAGGAAGACTGGCTAGACACGCCCTGGATCCCTCCTGCAGTCCCTCCCTTGCTGGCCAACCTTCTGCGTCCCTCTCTAGCCGCAATCGTGCACCAGTGGGGTTCCTTGGCCTGGCCTGTGCCCTCTTGCAATCTGGGCTGAGGGACCTCCCCCGCCCTGCCCCCGAGTGTATGGTTTCGTGCACTAGGCCTCTAGCCTATCAATAATAACCTTAAATGTAAATGGATTGAGAGAACCTAGATGGCGGCATAGGTAAACACCGGAAATTGCTGCCTCGCACAACCACTTCAAAATTACTACTAAAGACAAAACGGACATCATCCAGATCCACAGGAAGGCTGGCTGAGTGGAAATTCTACAACTAGAAGGAAAGAGAAAAGCACACTGAGACTCAGAGGAGGTGCAGACATAAAGTGCAGAGGTACAGAGACACACATGGCAAGGGCTGGCAACTGAGGACTCAGCTGTCTTTTTGAATCGGGAGGGAGTCACAAGCTCCCGACTGCTCTGAATTCCTGTTCCAGGAAGTCTCTGGGGACCAAGACTCATATGGGGAGAAACTGGACTGTCTGGCAGTGGGCAGAACTCGGAACTTGACGGCGGTTTTCTCTCAGAGGTGTTTGCAGCGACTATCAGGACACTGAGATGCTGGGCCTCTTAGGGCAGGGCTGAGGATCAGCCATAGCTGTTTGCTCCACCCTGCTGATCCCCTGAGACCCCACCCCACCCAAACTGTGCTCAGAGGCTTTTGCATATCAAAGGCTGACCCTTTGAAATCTGAAACTTACCTAACAAACTGCAGCTGGGCCCGAGAGACCCAGAACTTCCAAAAGAAGGCCCAAGACCCCACAGCAGCTTGCACTGCTTCACAGCTGGGTCTCATCTGGGTACCTCCAAACCCCAAACAAAGAAGAGGAATCTGCAGATCTTTCCATAGCTCCTGCTGGGTAGCCTCAGGAAGAGGCTAAATTAGCACCTCCTTAGAGATCCAAGGGCCAGTGTACACAGTGGTCAGAGTGG